CTATATTTATTTGCATTATTTTCACTCTTTTTTACTCAATTTATCTTTTTGATGGTGTTTTATATGTTATTTGCAAGTTACAGGGCTTAAAGGCTTAAAAGGACCTTTTTGGCGTTTAGGTATCCCAAAATGAAATCTGGCGTATCTACGGTATTTTCCTGGCATGCACACGCCACAATTCGTGTAGTTATAACATATATGGTGTATACACATTGTGGCCATGCTCCCCAATCCCCCCCTAAATCGAGCAACTGGAACCTTAAACCAAATAGCAGGATCATAGACGCCCAACACCGGACAACTTAGGCACCATATATTGGGCACCTAAGGACCACTTATTAGGCACTTGGATGCCAAGCTAGCTTTTGGGCATCTAGGTGCCTCCTCCAATAAGGAGTGCCACTTCTTCTAGTGTAACAGTGCTACTTCTGAGATCCATGGGTGCTTATAGAGCGAGCAGAACTCTGGTGCTCCAATATGAAAATCTGAAACTGACAATGGGAGTTATAGCAGCTTTGCTTCGGTGATGATAAGGGACTTTGATATGTGCTTTTCTCTTAGGCATTCGAGAAAAGACATAATTTTGAAGAAAAAGGGGCTTAGCTACACAATGGTTCAACGCTCAACCTTCTCCCGTAGAGTGACACAGAGAGGAAGAAGAAAAAGACTACAGGGGGTCCCCAGAGAACTATCGCAGTTGTCCATCACTATTCATTGGAGAGTGTAAGCTATTTTGTGAGTTCTTCGAAGATATAACAAATGTGAGTTTATTGTACTTCAATGGGTGAAAGTTTTAAAATTGTCTTGTATGTTCTTGTAATTGGGGAAGAGCATCAGTGAGATTGTTCCAAACTATGTTTATTTTGAATTTACAATGGAATTTGTTCATCTGTTATCCATATGATTTAGATTTATCTCTCACCTAAAATTAATTTTGAACAAGTTAGAACGTCCTTGTTATGTGATCGTATGAATTGGATATTAGAGTTCATAATTTAACCATTTGAAATTAATTTACTTTTAAACTGATCACTTAGTAATTTAAAATAAGTTATGATCTAGTACTGCGGAAGTACGCTAGTGGAACGGTTAAGTTAACACACACCGCTCTAAGAGAATAGGAATATTATTGTTAGGATGGTGTAATTATATAAAGAAATATACAGACACTGGTGTTTTTGTATGGTTAGGGGACTAATTGTAATATGAAACCACAAATTTATTGACCACTGATAGGATCTAGCAAAAACTATTAGTCCTGATTGTCAATTTCAATCAGATCATTTTGAGAGATCTAATTTGTTTGGGACCAATTCAATTATGATTTCATATCACTTATTCAACCTCCAAACTAGTTGTATGATGTATGGTTTACAAATATTAGGAATATAAATTTTTAAATTATAAACATTTGAAACTTCAAGCTAAACTCAAAACCAATATATTAAAGCTCTTCCAAGCTTTGGAGATTTGCTCGTTCCTTATGGGATCAATACATGTACTATGTTCTATATACTACTTGTGCGACACATATTCTTATATGATTTGTCGAGGCTTTATAGCACTTGGTTCGTATCATAAATCTCAAAGCCTAATCTCAAAAGCTTTGTGATTAACCCATGCCCAAGAAGTGTCTTTTTTTTAAATGAACTTTTTGAAGGCTTTATGGAGCAGGAGCTTATTCTTGTTGGTTACTCCTTAAGTGGTCTTTTAATGGAACCTTATTTGATTCAATCAATAAAGCTTTTCACTCAAATATAAACTTAACTTTTATTTTTTTCACTATATGATGTGTTTCTTCTCTTCAAATTCTCTTGTCAATAAAAATTTGACTTAGCTTAGATGGGTGATCCAAGATTTTGTGGAAAATTATTCACAATGTAAAAGTAGTTAAAAAAACATTAGACAATTAAAGAAAGCTTCTTGTTCAATCACTTTATGAATTAAAATCTTGGATATGCATCCATATCCATTTTATTGAAACCTTCACTTTATGAATTAAAATCTTGGATATGCATCCATTTTATTGAAACCCTATTAAGATTTTGAAAGTTGTTAATAAGGTTAACATCTATCTAGTTGTTTATATGGGTGAGCATTTGACCAATTTAAATATAACTTGTAAATTAGTTAAACTTACGAATTAAAATAAAAATGAATTTACATTTTTTTTAATTAAAATAAATTGAATTGAGCTTTAATTTGATTCATTCAAATACTAAAAATATATAATTTTCAATAATGATAATGATATTTTTAACTTGAATAATGTATTTTATGAAGATCAACAATTAATATTTGCCAATAAATATAATTTAAAAATTAAATATTATTTATATTGATCTTCATGTCACTTAATTATTTATATATTATGACTTTTATTGATTTAATATTTGAAGATATTAATATACTTTTGTTTTAAATTCGATCTACTATAAAAATATTGAATTCATAACTAAGATATAATGAAAGTCAAATTTATAACTAATAAATGCACTAATATTGTAACAACTGAATCAAATAACCCAAATAAAATTAGTTCGATTCGATCTTTCATTCTTATATAAATAAGGCACACCATTAGCCATCAATACCTTAAGTACAAATATTAAGCATTTTACTTTTGTCAATCTTTGTCCAAGTTGTTAATTGTTTAGCTTTACATTATAAAATATGTATTAGTGTGAATAATAAAAAAAATAACATACTTTTCTATCCTTTTTTGGATCATTTATATTTGGAAGCCTTCACCTTGCCCTGAAAATGACCCTTTCATTACTTTTATCACCTTATCACTCAAATCTAACTCCACTCCAAACTCCTTCTCTTCCTCCAATAAGCATAATAGGAGTCAAGCATCTCACCATTGGTCTGTAGCTTCTTAGGCCTCTTAAATATCTACTAAAAATCCTCCCCCTTCTAAGTCCCCATCTACTTTTTCAACCACTTGATTTCTTCTATCCTCCTTAGAAATCCACTAATATTATTCAAAGCTTTGATTCTCTATATAGAATTTCATCTAGCCTTATCCCACTTTTAACATTCTTCTCTTTTTATCTTTCATTTTTCATTTTCTTTCCCTTCTCAGCCCAATGGCCTTCCTAAAATCAATATCCAATTTTTACAAAAAGAAATAAAAACTAGTTATGAGCTACTCATCTGTAGTAGCTTAAACAAAAAGAAATAAAAACTAGTTATGAGCTACTCATATGTAGTATTTTTTGGGAATTTTATGATTTTGATAGAATTAATCATTAATGGAATCCTATCTTGTTTTTATGTCTTAACCTCTCATGAATTCTTGAAAGCAAATTTAAGGTTCACCTTCTTTTTAACTCTTTATAAATTCTCATAAACTTTTTCTCAATAAGAAGAATGTATAATTCCTTTGTGTGTAATTTTAATACAACTTAGATTAAGCAAAATAGATTAAGACTACACCCATTTTCACACTTAAATTGCTAAGAAGTAAATTATAGATGATTTTTTTTCTGATGGCTTCATATTTTTCCAACATTATTATGGATTTTATGTAGTATACACCCTTATAAAAAAGCATACCTAATAGTACTCCCTCTCAAATGTTGCCACTTATTCTAATGAACCTTAATTAATTATTGTAGGCATTAACTATTGTAGATTTCAATATAAAAATGCTAGATGTATCCATATTACACCCAAAAAACTTATAGACTTCAAAGATTTTTTTTTCAAGCTGGTTTGTTTGATGTATCATCTACGATTTTATTCTTCATTTAGCTTAAACTTAAAGATGACCACTCGATGAACATTAAACAAGATAAAAATTTAAGCAATAAAGGGTGGCTTAAGTTATTTTCTCTCCTCTCAAAATATACCTAGCCTGCATTGCCCTTTTTGATATTATTTACTGCTAATATCTACTAAACCCTCTTTTCTTTCTACAAATTGATTCATGATAAAAAACTAAAAGATATAATTACTTGGCTCTAACTCCACATTCTAGTAAGCTTGATCCTTTTAGTCTTGTAGTACTCATATTTATCTCTCTGCAATAGACAAATCCAACTCTAGGAAAGAATCCAATTCTTCACTATCACCAGACGTTCCATAGATGCCATAGAGGTTTCTCATCAAGGACCAAGAATCGATCTTATCTCTCTGCAATAGACAAATCCAACTCTAGGAATGAATCCAATTCTTCACTATCACCAGACGTTTCATAGATGCCATAGAGGTTTCTCATCAGGGACCAAGAATCGATTATACAACATTTCCTCACAATCACCTTGAACGACCTCCCTCGTCAAGAAATGAGCGGCATATTAATTTACCGTTATCCATCCTCTTGTTAATGACCTAGTCTCGTTCTGCTGAAAGGAAGTCCTCATCCAGGGTCGACATTCATACTAGACCAACCGATCATCTTGTTAATGACCTAGTCTCGTTCTGCTGAAAGGAGGGTCGACATTCATACTAGACCAACCGATCGACAAAGTTCATCAGACCGAGCCAGTCCTACCCACCAGAATCTAATCAAATCCACCCGACCTATTGCGCTAACTCAGCCAAGTCGACTGAAACGACCCTACTAAGCCTAAGTCATGCTACCCAACTGACCCAGTTATAAGGCAACTGGGCAGTAGGGTGGCATATAAAATACTCTATAGCGGTCTCATTGAAGTAGTGGCAGAAATATAATATCATATAGTATATCATCTCTTCTATAAATAAGAAAATTATTTTATGAAAAATGACTAACAGACAAAACGATTCATTGTTTACTTATTATTTATTTTTCTGTGCAACTCTCTCTTTCTCGTTTTTTATGCTTTAATCTTTGAGGTGTGATTCACTGACAAATTTGAATTCAACTTTATACATAATAATAACTCAAATAATTTCAATATTATGATTTAAGTAAAAATTTGAATAATTGCATTAGAAAGATATTAATTCTGTACCTGTAATGTCTTTAAATAATACCTGGGATGCTTAAACTCCTCAGCCCAGCTGAACTGTATATGGGAAGTCATGGCGCTTTCAGGGTTTAGGGCTCTGTGCATCTCTGCGATTCTACCGATAACCTCGTTACAAAGTGGCCAACTCCTTCGCTCTCTTTCCTCCTCTACCGCCGCCACTTCCGGCGAGTCCAGCGGCGCAATGGCAGTAAAAAAGGTGACCTTGTCTAACTTTTGTTCGGTTCTCGAGAACCTACGAATCCGAATCCGAGAGGCTGATTTCGTCGCCGTCGATCTGGAGATGACGGGTGTGACGAGCGCTCCGTGGCGTGATTCCTTTGAATTTGATCGCTCGGACGTGCGGTATCTCAAGGTGAAGGATTCCGCGGAGAAGTTTGCTGTTATCCAGTTTGGTCTCTGCACATTTCGGTGGGATGATTGCCAGGGTTCTTTCATTGCCCAACCGTAAGGTTTTTTTATTTTTTTTATTTCGATTATATGTTTTTTTGCTCTTAACTCTGGTAGGGGCTTCTGTATGCTTTTTTGCATTTGATGACTTAAGTTAGTGGGAGAATTCATGATAAAGGTGAGGTATTTTTGTTATTCTTGCGTGGTAGGTGAGAATTAACTTCAAAGGGAGTAAGAGAAACAGAGTAAACTGTATATCATTGCATACTTGTGCGAGCACGATGTCTGTATTTATACCAATATAAAGTGTACTGGTGCCTCTACAATTGCAGAATTAGTTTTGAAAGAACGGCAGAGATTATCATGATGGATTGTGGTACAGTGTGCCAGCTATTGAGAGATGGAATTATTATGTTATTACTTCCCTGGAAGGTGACTACTTGTCTTGTATGTATGTTCATCTTGTGGTCTATAATGATTTGGTGAAATGTATGCCACTTTATACTTGGAGGCAATGTGATGAACAGTGGTTTTATTTGATTGATGCATTCCTCAATGAAGTGATGATTAATATATACATGTTTTGTAATGGCATGAAACATTGGATTGTTAATTATCACAATGATCGAGATATTGTCAATGTAGTGGGGTGTAGGAGAGCTGAGATGAATATCGAATTCTTGTAGGAGATGTCTGAGCGAAGTGATGTCTGTTGAGCCTGTGGCTAAGACTAAATATTCTGCTTTAATGGATAAGCGAGCTACCGTGGACTGCTTTTTGGCACACAGGAATATCAATGTTTTACCTCGAAATGCACAGTAGCCTGTAAATGATTTAAAATCTGGGGGGTCCCTTTCCCAATCAGAATTTGACCATACTTGCAGACAAAGTGTGTTTCGGTAGATTGGTAAGCCGCAGTGGAGGGTGGTTTTGAGGCAGCGTGGCAAACATTTGAGTGGTTGGAAGTTTTGTAGAGGTTCATGCATGTGTTGGTTTACACTTTTCACTGCATAAGCTATGTTGGGTCAGTGATATGAGCTATTGAAGGGAGCCGTTTAGTTGCCGATATAGGATGGGTTGAGAGAATTAATACTATTGATATGTAGTGGGGCATAATTTTGAAAGTAAGTGGAGTTATATGGGCTTGCAATGATTCATACATGCATGATCAAGGATGCCAAACTATACTGTAGTTGATTGAGGTCATTATAGTATGGTTCTTGCTAGGCCTGAAGATTAGGAAATTGTGATATTGGGTTGAGGTTTTTCATGTGGAATGAAAATTTTAAGTATTGTAGAAGATTGGTGATAATTGGTTGAGTGCTTTCAGTGAGAAGAATATCATCGATGTTGATTAGCAGGTAGAAAATATGAACTTTGTTACAATATTGCCACAAGAAACGGTCTGTAGTGTTAGAGGAGAAGCCCAGGCATTGCAAATTCTAATTACAGTTGGCAACCACTAGTGAGGAGATTGGTGTAGGCGTAGATGGCATTTTTGAGAAGACAAATTCAGTTAAGACATATTGGATCAATGAATCCTTGGGTTGAGTCGTGTATGTATTTTTTGTGAGGTTGTTGTGAAGGAAGGCATTGGGGACATCAAGTTGAAGGGCCAACCAATCGCATGTGAGTGCGATAGTGAGTAGAATTTTGATTATCAACATTTTGTCATTGGACTAAAAGTTTTATTGTCGAAAATGTTGTGCTCTTGTTGGATCCTTAAGCTACTAGGTGGTATTGCCGTGATTAACAATGCCATCCAAGTTTTATATTGTTTTGCATATCCATATTGAGCCAAGAATTGTTTGATTAATTGGGGGGAACCTAAGGTCCAAGCTATTTGGGCTTGCAAAGCTTGAGACTTTTGAAACATGGCTCGACATTACTATTCTTCTTTCACAACCACATAATTACTTGTTGAGTCGCTGGCAGTGGTTGAGTGAAGGAGGTTGACGACTTTTTTAGGCTTTACTGACCAATTTTTCAAGCGGGCTTGCATGGGGTAGCCTATCGGGATAATATGTGGAATGATGGTTGTTGTGATTTCTTGTGAAGTGGATACAACAAAATCGAGTGAGATGGTGGATGTATGCATGCGAGTTAATGATGAATGCATGAGTTTTGGATGATGTTGGTTAGAGGTGTTTAAATTACGGATGGAGTGGTGGTAGTTGATTTTTAAGAGGCTTAAGATGGGAACTAGTGTCATGGAGGTTGCTTTGTAGAAATGGAGTTTTGGCGAGGTGGTTTGAGAATGTGATGGTGGGGACATTCATCTTTATTGAATATGATGTGACGAGAAATGTAAGGTTCACCTAGGTGGGGTCGTAACACTTGAAGCCAAAAATACACAACACATGGACATGGTGGATCATTTGTTGTTAAGAGTAAGATGAAGCCATGGAAAACATTGATAGCTATAAAATATGAGGTGGGAATAGGATGTTAATTTGTTATGTGGTAGTTTTTATGGGAAAGCATGTGTTGTAGAGGAGGGCATCTTTTTGGTAAGGTATGTTGTTATTAGAAGGGCGTCCACCCATAATTACTGCGGAAGATTGGCTTACAGGTCTATATTGATTGTTTTGACAAGGCGGCAATCATTGCATTTTACATTGTTGTTTTGCTCGTATGTATATGTTCATATCTACTAGCAAGTGGTGCCTGCTTGAGAGAAGGGTTTGAAAGTTGGATTCAGGTATTAACCCCTCCATTGGAGCAAAGAGTTTTCATTTTGAAGTTGTATAATTGTTTAAACATGTTATTTAATTATATGAATTTTGAGCATATTTCAAATTTGAATTTCATAGGATACATTAAACAAAAATGCGTGATTTCACTATTAAAAAGGACAAAATATCCTTAATTGTGTTTTGAGATAGTGTGGGATGGGCTCCATACATCACTGTAAATGAGTTAAAGAGGATATGAATTGCAAGAAGTAGAGATTGAGAACAGTAATTTATGACTTCAGCTAAACATCATGATGAACATGCATTAGAGTGAGACTAGAGATTTATTTTTGGGGTTGAATCTAGTTATTGAGAGAATTTTTGTGCTTGGATGTTTCAGGTGGTGGTGCTATAGAGCCGGAGTATTTTAGTTGAAAGAAAGGCCAAGTGTTGAAGGTAATGCTGAGCTGATGACCGGAGCTGATTAGGTAGAGTTCACGATGGCATAGTCTTGCTACAGGAAGGCTACACATTCTCAAGTCCTTAATTTGGTTGCGAACAACATTAAATGTTTTGTGGTAAGAATTAGCAAAGATGAGTTGATCACTGATGATGAGTTTATAAGCGAGGTTTTCTACTTGGAATTAAGTAAGAACGAGCTTAGATGGCATTGCTAGAATGCCTTGATTGCCTATTGCTATGGGCAATGAGCTGCTATTTCAAAGGGCAACTTGTGTCTTGTAATATGGGTAGGGCTTTTGTAAGTGATCTCGAATGTAGTTGAGATAGATGAGTTCTTCTTGATTAAAGTATCAATCAGCTGCAAGGATGGTACGGCCAGCGAAGAGTGACCAGGGGGTGATGAGTGGCCATTGTAGTTGAGATCTTGATGATGCCAACAAGAAGCTGTAGGCCCATCCTGTTTTTTAACGTGTTTGGCAAGTAAGATGTGGTGTGGATGTTCAATTACCGTTGTTATTATATGGAAAGCGTGACCCACTATTTTATGGGTAGGTGTGGAACGACCTATTTTGGATTTAATGTGGAAATTATAAGCACCGTGCTTACCCATTTTGGCTATTAAAATTGCTTGTGAGGTGAGTTTTTGGGGAGTTGTTGAGATCTCTAGTTGCCTTAGTGACCAAATTTGTCTCCGCATTACAGAGGAGTGAGTAGAAGCTGATTGGTTGAATGTTGATATTGAGGAGGTAGACCTTTCAACATATAGAAAATCAAATCTTCGGAATCCAACAAGGAGCTAGCCACACTTATGACTTTTATTTTTGGTTTTGACGTTGGAAAAGAATTGTGTTATGTATTTGTTGTCCATAGATATTTGTTGTTGGTCATTTTTTAGTTGAATAATGCGTGAACCATTGGAGGATTGTAGACATTGAATATGAGAACATATGGAAGGATTGGAGTGGAGATGGTGCCATAGAGTGCGACGTTTAGACTTTGAACATCTATGTGACATAGCTTGAGTCTGGGGTAACCTCGCTGTCGGTTGCAGCGATATGTTTGGGTGGGTGGGAGTAGAGCCATCAAAGAACCTCTCAACCCCACTGGCTTGAAAAATTATGCAGTCATGTGATTTCCTTGTTGAAGTGAGAAATGCTTTTGATATTTGTCATGAGGACTTTAGTTGGGTTGGCATGGGAACATTGCCCGTTTTGGCAAATTGAGAGTTTTTTGGCTGTGCTGAATGAGAACATCTCTCATTTTTGGGAATGAAAACATCCCCCTTTATGAATTTTAGAAAAACAATCCAAGTGATTTTACGCTTGTCTTTAAATCTTTCTAGTTTAAGATTTTTCTATTATATTAATATCATGTATGTTGCTCCTAAACTCATATTTAAGATTTGATGATTTATAACCTTAGTCCTGTACAACTTTTTCCTGATAAATACAAAATTGCACCGTTAGTAAAATAATTTTTTTATGATGTGTGTAGAGAATAATAAGTTTTAAATTGAGCAAAGGGTGAGAAATGCTCTTAATTGATAAGCATTTATGTCGGAAAAAAATCATTTAAATCATAAGTTTCATCCCCATGATATTCTTTGGTTTTAAATGAAGTTTGCATTATCATTAATATCTTGTGTTTTGTTTTTAAAATCTGATACACTTGACAAAGCTTTGCATTGTAGTCCAAATGGAAGTATGGTGTATTATTCAAGATGATTCCGGCATAGGTCTTACCTTGTTGACATGGTTTGGCACAATAGTCGCGTGAAATGTCTTATAATTCACAATGAAACCATCTGCATGTATTGTGTTACAAGACACTATCTCTCAAATTCTAGACTATGGAACTAGCCAACAAAGTTATAGGAGAAATCCTAAAAAATCCTGGAATTGTGTGTATCATACAGGTGCT